CATGTCAGCAGTCAAGGGACCCCCAACTTGACAAGTAAATCTATTAGCTAGCTAGTGCACGTGATTCCTTTTAATCGTATAAAAGGAATCAGCTCCCTTGAGCCTTGGGGAGCAGACAGAATTCAAATACCTTATCAACCGAGTGTTTTGCAATTGCAAGTACTTTAACGACCGTTACGACCTTACGAATATATATTCTTAATCGCTTAAAAGCAATCTAACACTGATCAGTGGTTGATTTACTATTAAGTGATCAATCACAAAGAAGCTAAGAATACTTTATAGCGAAGATACTTTTCATTACGATACCTCTCTCCTTCTACAACGGAAGAGCGATTCCGTACCAAGTCGCTTCTTATACTACCGATTTTCCTTTATTCTTACGGAAAAGTGATTCCGAACCAAGTCACTTTTATACAACCTTTAAAGCTGTAGAGCCGCGCTTACTACATACAGCAAACCCAACTAACACGATCGATCTACGTACGAGCAGACAACAACTATAGCCGATCGAGCAACTAGACCTTCAAGTAGAGAGTCTAGCCGACAAAAAGCAATAAGGTATTATACCTTTCGAGTCTTATCATTACTTACGGAACCTTTAGCTATTCAGCCAAAAAGACTACTATACCTAGGACTCTCAAGCCTTTCGAAAGGACTAGACGACGAGATGTCGGGCATCTCATTTGACTTAAACGAGCTATTATACGCAAGGCCAGACAGTAAGATCACGGCCCGAGCGATAATGAACGACTTCTTAGATACGAAGTGTAAAAGGCTAAAAGATTACGACTTGTAAAGCTTATTCCGGCACGCTTTCTTACGCTAAGATTGGACTAGTTTTACAATAACGAAGGATAATACAAGACGAAGCCTTAAGTTTGCTACCTTTATTAGCCTTAAGGAACACTTGCTGTCTAAAAGCGTGTAGTGCCCCTTAAAGCAAAAGGGCTACGCCAATAAGATGGTCAAGCTTTTGAACGACGAGCAGCAACACTAATAGACCTTTTAAGAAATAAAAGAGCAGCAAGCAGTACTCTTAAGCTTCGATTCAAGGTAGATCGCCGAAAATCTTACGGACGACGAGGATAATACGCCTCAACTACTTTTACCACCCTTACGAAGTCTAAAAGAAAAGGAAAAGGAGGTATTAAGGAAGGAAAAGGAAGAGATTCGGAGGTTACGCGAAGAATTTGCGAAAGAAAGGAGGAATATAAAGCAAAATATAAAGGTGATAGCAAGGCAAATGGCGGAGTTACGGACTTACGCTATACAATTTAACGAAGGGCTACGACGAAGCACTTCAGCGTACTCGACGCCCTCAATTCAGCAACCGCTACGTAATACGCTAATCATACAAGAGCCAAAATCACTTTAGCGGCCTTTAAACCCCTTTCTTAAAAGCTATAATCGGGTTTCCTAAAATCCAGGGCCGAGTAGCAATAATAACGGCCCCGAAAACATAATCGAGCTTGACAATACGCAAGGCAATAGCAGCTATACGCTAAAAGAGGACCCGCTAAAACTTAAGAGCATTCCGGACAAAATTAGCTTTTATTAAGGACAGCGTGCAGATTTCCGTGCCCAACTTTAGCAACCCGAAAAGGAGATCCAGCACTCTCGGACGTACCGATAAGCTCCTTAGATCCTTTAATAAGTTACGTATCGATAAAAAGGATACTAAAGGTATAAGGATCGCTAAGAGCGCGCTTAAAGGTACGGATATCATTAAGCTAGAGCTTTAGCCGGTAACCCGAATAGCCTTAGCGATCTTGACGATGACCGACGAAAAGGAAACGAGGAAGATTAACAAGGAGATCGAGGCTACGGGCACGGAAAAGGTAAGAACGGCCCTTTTAGACTATCAAAAGGATTCGGAAACGGACCTTTAAAAGACCTCGGATTCGGAAATAAGCCTCTTAAAGACCTTAAAAAAAGACGGACCACCGGCAACTATATCGGTAACCCTTTACCGATCAGACCATTAGTTAAGCAAAGCACGCTTGCGTACGGCACTCCAAGCGCCCTTAACGATAATAGAGACGATTTCCTTAAGCTAAGGGCAGCAGACTCTCACTTAAGAGCGAAGGAATTAGCTTTGTTCGCGCAAAGCTTTCTTAAAGAGTTAAAGTATTTAAGACCCGACGATGACTTCAAGACTTAATTAAGAATTTTTACTGACTAAGCAAGTCGATACGATTTAACCTCCGAGGATTATTTAGCGGCGTTCCCGATTATGCTTACAAAAGAGGCTATAACCTTTTATTATAATCACGTCATCAAAGCCAGACTTTCGACTTTCAAAGCAAACGTTATTGCAATAAAAGACTACTTCGAGACTGACCACCGGCGGCAAGCAAAATACGACCGCTAGAAGGAAATTTCGCTAGATTTGATCAAGAAAGAGAATCCAAGGACCTCGCTTAGCGAATGCTTTGAAAAGCTCGCTAAAGAGCTTAAAGGGATTCAAAGCTTTCTACGACCAGGTTTGAAAGATGATCGAAGTCTTGCTAACAAGCTGTATTCAGCTTGTAAAAACGTGCCAAAGACTACGATTGCACGAATGAACCTTGCTTTTACTTCTACCGCCGCAGTTGCCGACATTCGCAAAGCTATTGCGTTTGCAACTAAGACCTCCCGACCTCTTGCTAAAGCGAGTAGAGCTTACGCGAGCTCTAACGAGCTACACGATCACACCTGCTCTTAGCATAACACCTCAAAAGCTAACTCCGATTTAGACGAAGAATACGAATGCTTTATTCAAGACCGCCAATACTTCGGAGGTAAGAAAGCTGCCAAGGCTACTAAAGGTGAAAAAAGGTGTTTTGTTTGCAAAAAGCCAAGTTGCTAGAGCACCAACCACACCCCCGACGAAAAAAAAGCATCCGTCGCCAAGTTCTAAGCTTTTAAGGACGCAAAAAGAGTGACGAAAAGCAAATTTTCTTAATACGTAGCGTCGATCGAGGGCTGGCCACTTATATCTACGGAAAAATTCGATCAGTTTATCGCAAGCTTACCAAACGAGCTACTCGAATCGGGCAGCTACGCTAACATATCGGAAGGTTTTATGACTACTCACGGCATCTTTGACGCTGACGAGGTATACAAATAGCTAAAGATTCAGACGGCATTCCACGCCTTTACCAGCCAAGTAGAGACCTAAAAGATGCTCGAGCAAGATCCGCGTGTGCCCGCAGATAAGGCAGAGACTTACATAGCCTTTAAGTACTTTGAAAACGTATTCATAAGCCTTATGATTAACAGCGGAGCAGCCAATTTCTTTACCGCTAACTTGCCTTAGCTACGAGCACTTTAAAAGAAGTATCTCGAAGTCTAATTAAATACATCCCGAGCAAAGGAGAAGTCCGTTAAATACAGCATCGGCTTTGCCACTTTTATTAAAGCAGTTACCTTAGATACCCCTCTAGGTCAAGTGGAGTTCTACGTTATAGAGAGCGACGTACCCTTCTTACTCTTATTAGCTGATATAAACAAGCATAAGGTGATCTTGGATAACTTGCGGAACGTACTAGTCCAAGGGAAGAAGGAAATACTAATAATAAGGATGTTTAAGCACGTGTGGATGCTATTAAGTAAAGAGCACGCTGCTACCTACTATAGTACCGAAGGCGAGACCGTCTACTGCTACTTTACGGAAGAACAATTAAAGACTATCTACAAGCGTTTTGGCCACCTCTTAGCAAATCGATTTGTGGGAATGAGGGGATCGGAGTTAAGGACTCGATCGGGGATAAGGGTGGCCCGTGCTTGGCACGTGCACCTTTGCTATAGCAACCACATGGTGGCCCGTGCACCTATGCACTCAACTATATGTAACTGCACTTCGCAGCTAGAATAGCTTTCTCCTTTAAAGACTTAACAACACTACGAATGCAACCACTTGCTATTCGTACCGAGTCTCACGTGTGCACTTTATTGTGTAACCAACACTGATCAGTGGTTAAATTCACACTTAACCACAGATGAGCTAAGTACAGAAAAGAAGAGGTAGTTTTTGCCCTCTTAAAAGTATTAACTACGCTACAAGCAACCGTTAGTTCTTAACAAGTCTAGCGGAAACCCAATACAATTAGCAGTACTATCACTAGTTATAGCGTCTATCACGCAACCACCACCGCTAATATAGCGGATGACAGAAACAGAAATCCTCTCCCTCACGAATTCGAAAACCCTCCTCTTCTCCCCCTTTCAGAGAAATCCGTTCGACCTCTAGCAAGTAGCTTCGAAGAACTCGAATGGACTCTCCGAGGCAAATTCAAAGTCGACCGAGAGGTATAAGAAGCTGATAATTTCGACCTTACTAATAAGACCAAATAGACCCAAGGTTGCGTTCACTCGTATATCATCCGAGCCTTCGATATATTTAAAGATGATTATCGCTACGCTACAAGTGACAATTTATAAGAGACATACCAAAGCTTTTTCGAAAGATAGATTGAACTATTGTTCAAGCTAAGTTACATCACAATCCTAAGATACTTATATAATCACCTCTTCGTCTACTACGTGTAGATGAAAGATCTAAAAAGTGGTGTAAGCTATGCTTCAGCCTTTGCTAAACTATTTTATAGATCGATATTTCTCGTATTTCCACCTCACGAAAAAGCAAGACAAGAAAAGCGACTCAGTTTAATAACATACAGACCTGCCGTCAAACCCCTACCTTCACCTTTACTATCTCCCACACCTTTTACACCGATACAACTTACACGACCACCCCTCCTACCGATACACCTTTAATTGTATCGACCTTTACCCTCACCCTCGAATGATATACAATTCGATATACTATTCAATAAGCAACCCTATCAACAGCAGAGACAATAAGAGTTCACCCTTGACCCTCGACTGCCCCGTAACCCTCGACTACCCCTTGACCCTCGACTACAACCTTTACTACCGATTCATTCGACTCGACCCTTACCCAACCCATTGGTTCATCGACAACCCTACGTACCACCCATCTTCGAACACCGCGAACCTTAAGGACGAAGAGCAAATAGAAGAGGTAGAAGCGGAAGTGATGATAGTAGAAGCAACCATACGGAAGACTCTTATCGTAAAGATAACTACAAAAGAAGTAGAGGAGGCGGTAGAAGAGGAGGTGGAGGAGGAAGTAGAAGAGGAGGTGGAAGAAGAGGTGGTAGAAAAGGCGGAGGTAGCAATAGAAAAGACCCTGACCAATTAGCTAGAAGAGGCTGGAGACCAAGCCCAGCGCAGCTGATTAGCGGACTCAGTAAGATATATAGATATAAGAAGGAGCTCAAATACAGTAAAAGAATGTAAGATATACTCTTCGTAAAGCTAAAAAAGTTCTATAGCTTGTGCGAAACATACGACATCTCTCTTGCCTTATACGCTAAAGCTTTCCTTGTCATGCTTACCGAAGCAGCAGACGCTTATTATATCGATCAAATAACTAGCAGAAGCTACTTTTTCGAAGCTATGATATACCTTATAGCCTAACACTTCGAAACCGATAAGAACCGAAAGCACTACATGAGCTTATAAAGAACTACTACATTCGCTAGTGTTATTGCAGACAAAAAGAATATCGAGAAGACTCGACTAGAGTGCTTAGAAATTACGATGAAGCTTTTAAAAAGCTGTTAGCAAGGCTTTACACTCGAATACCAAACCGATAACGTATTGCGCGATCAACTTATTAGCGCTTGCAATAGAGTCGAGGAATGCAGACTAGCAATGTTTAACCCAGCTAATACATACGAAGGAGTTGCTGCTCAATTACGATTAGCAATCGGTATTATTCAAAAAGAGCGCTAAATACTCGAATACACAGCTCCTCTTATTATGTACCATGCTTCTAACGACCACAATTGCGATACCAATTGCAATCACGAGACCTATTACACCGATCGAAACTATAAAGGATCAAGTAAGAGCTATAACCGTGGCTCAAGAAGCTACAATCGCGGTAATAGAAGCAGAGGTAGGAACAAAGGTTTTGCACGTAAAAGAAGGAATAAAGGCTTCCGCGGAAGTAGAAAGCTTAAGGTATGCTTTATCTGCGGCAAACCCGACTGCTAGTTTACAAAACACTCCCTTGAAGAACGAAAACGCTCTTACGACGAGTACAAGAAAAGCGCTACGTACCACACTACTCAACTAGTGACTTTGGCTTATTTTGCAAGCTTCTTGGCGGACTACGAAAGAGTAGAGAGTATTGCAGACGAAGAAAATCACCAAGATCAAGCAACATACGCTACTGAAAACTATCAGTACGACGAATACGATTACGGTGACCGCAATTACTTCACTCAGACCTTTCTCACCGAGGCTAAAAAGGTGATAGGCGCCGAAACCATTGCAATTTTGCAAGAACGCTCAGCTTACTACGCTTTCACCACCTTGGACGCTATGAACCCTTTAATTAAGGAAGATAAGACCGTTCCACTAAAGACCTACATTTCACACTCCCGGTATTCAGCTTATCGATTCTAAAGCTTCTTTCCCGATTCGAGAGCTGCAAGTAAGTCTTTTGCAAGAGAAGCACAAGTAAGAGCTCTCTAACATCACTTGCTTGAATTACAAGTGATTACTACTCAAAGAGGTACTATCAGCTTCGGCGAGACCCCGGCTATTATCAAAGGAACCGTAAAAGTACAAACACCAATTGGCAAGATTGTTTTTCATGTAATCAATACTAACACCCCTTTCCTAATCTATCTAAAAGACATGGATTCTCTTAACGTGTATTTTGACAATCTAAGAAACCTGCTTATGCAAGGCCATAACAGCGTGCCAGTTGTTAGAAAATAAGGCTACCCATTCTTATTGCTTAGTCAGCAAGAAACTATTACATGCTACCTTACCGAAAGAGAATTGCGTTAAATTCATCGCCGCTAAAGACACCCTTTAGTATAGCGTTTTGCTACCACCTTTAAGGCTGTCGGTGAAGAGTTTGAAACCGACATCTTCGAAAAGATTACTAAATACTATGCGCAGTATCAACTATATAAGCAAGCCTTTTGCAGATTCAAAATCTCTTTAAAAGATGAGTATGAATTCAACTATTCGATTATTGTTAATATCATGTATATTAACGGGGACCTCGTATTACATATCGTAGATTCAGCTACAAGCTACGGTTCTAAAGGATTCCTTAAGAATATAACTGCAAAACACGTATAAGATACAGTACGTTACTATTAGATCGATACATACTTAAGCCTTCTAAATGTAATCGTAATAGACGCTAGAACCAACTTGAGCTTTCAAGAGTTTAAACAATAAGCAAATTCGATAAATACTAAGATCAAGGTAGTCTTAGTCGAAGCTCATAATAGCGTCGGAAAAGTAGAACGCTACCATAGCCTTCTCCGAAGAATATACAATATTCTAAAAGAGGAACTAGCAAGTGAAGGAGTTGACAAGCATATAGTACTTTAAATGGCTTTCAAAGCTATCAACGATACAGCCGGCCCCGGAGGTATTGTCTTTACATTGCTCGTATACGGCGCATACCTACGCCTTTCTAAGACAGATTCTCTAGCACTATCTATAACAAAGAGACGAGAAGCCTTTCGAGCTGCAACCAAAGAGATTCGTCGACTATAAGCTAAGAGAAAAGTCAAGGACGCCTTAGCAATGCGAAATAGACCAAATACCTTAGAAACCCTCAACCTCTCTTTGCAATCAAACGTCAAAGTCTATAAGGAAGTAAAAGGTAAACCAAGCAAAAGCGAATGGACCGGACCGCATAAGCTAATTGCACGTGAAAACGAGACCTGCAAAGTACTCGTAAACGACCGAATTAGCGAATTCCGTTTAGTAGTTGTCAAACCGTATTATAAAACACTTTTAGATACGCCAAACCTCGAAGAATCTTTGCCACCGAACCGGTTAACTAAAGCTGAACTACTACCGGTCCAGCTTACAAGACAACCTACCACTCCAGCTACTAAGATTGGATCACGCCCGCGCAAACCGAAAGGCAGTTTAGCAGTTCGCCACAGCCTCCGTCACTTTTTTGCAAGTATAAAGGAGTTCAAAGATTTTGACGAGCAATTTCTCAATCACGAAAGTGATGTCATCATAGTATTCTTTACTCATAAAAAAAAGGCTGATGTTGCGCTCTTTACGAAGCTTAAAAACGAAAGAGTTATTATTACGCCCGGCGAGCAATTCGTGGAATCACGCCTCTAAGAGCTAAAGGGCTTAATAGAGAAAGAGGTATTTAAGGTTGTAGAATACAACCTTGCGGTCCACGGAACAAGCCGCATATTCAACTCTCGAATAGTCGATGAGATCAAAAGCAAGAATACCTTCGAACCATACGAAAAATCACGCTTTATTATTCAAGCTTAAGGCGACGAAAGCAAGTATAATATTCTCACTCAATCCCCGACTATTTAACGCAATAGCTAGCGTTTAATGATTTCCTTAGCCTTATTCTTAGAATCCTTCAATCAAGCAATAGTTTCTTTGCGAGATATTACTCAAGCTTACGTATCGAGCTAGCGCTACTTCGAGCGTATGATCTTGGCGTATTTGCCCAAGGACTTCTAACACCTATACCCCTCGAGCTACATCTTACTGATTCGTAGACCTTTATACGAGATTGCGGAGGCAAGTACCTATTGGTAGGACACTTATTACAAACACTATAAAGATAAGCTATTCATAGTCTCTTCTATATACGACCCTTATTTATTGATCTCTACAACTAGCAAATTCGCTATCATTGGAATGCAAACAGACGACACACTGATAATAGCTGACAAGGAGTTCAATAACTTAAAAGAGCAAGAGCTTGAGAAGGCTGATTTTAACGCTAAGCTAAAAGAGACGCTTACAATAGAAAACGAAGTGACATTCAATGGAGGAACACTAAAGAAGCTCGCTAATAGCTCGATTCTACTCAAGCAGAAGGACTAAGGGAAAAAGCTAGAGCTAGTTACCGAAAATAGAAACAATTACTTGGAACAGCGAGCACGTGCAGCTTACATTGCAAGCTTGTGTCAGCCCGAAGCTATTTTCGACTTATTTACCGCCGCGCAGATCTAGCAAAAAGACCTCACTTTAGACGACATCACCTTTTTAAACAAAAGAATTGCATAGATAATAGAAAACCAGCAACGAAGCTTAATATACTTCAATATCGACTTACGTTTAGCGAAGCTGTTCGTATTTGTGGACGAGAGTTTTGCTAATAATAAAAACTGCAGTTCACAAATTAGTTTTCTAATCATCTTAGCAATCGAAGAAAAGTTTGACAGCTCCTTCTTTATCTAAAAGAACCTTATCGCTGCTAGTTCTACAAAATGCAAGCGAGTAACACGCTTAATACTTGCTTCGGAAATCTATAGCATAATCTCCGGTATAGATATTGCTATTTGCGTAGCTACTACCCTCAAAATAATTATTAACAAGCTAAAAGTCCCCGAGGTCTTTATAGTCGTCTATACCGACTCATATTCCTTCTACGAATGCCTTGTCAAGCTCGGAACCACTAAGGAGAAGCGCTTAATGATCGACATTATAGCTTTTAAGCAATCATACGAGCGCCGAGAGCTTGCAAAGGTCAAATAGATTAAAAGAAAGGATAATTTAGCCGACTTTATAACGAAAATCAACTTAAATAAGTCGTTAGCGACCTTTATTAATACGAACAAAGCTAACGTACGTGTCGAAGAGTGAGTAGAGAGAGCATAAGAAGGTCAAGCCGAATTTAAAAGGAACGGTGATAATATTTTTTATCGATAACGTTAAGAATAAGAGAGCTATTTTTACTTGTATTAAAATTGTAATTGCAATTGCAACTATTGCAATTACAAAAGAGAAAATTGCGAGTATAAGAATAAGAGGATCGGAGTTAAGGACTCGATCGGGGATAAAGGTGGCCCGTGCTTAGCACGTGCACCTTTGCCATAGCAACCACATGGTGGCCCGTGCACTCATGCACCCAACTACATGTAACTGCACCTCGCAGCTAGAATAGCTTCCTTCCCCAGAGACTTAACAACACCACGAATGCAACCATTTGCCATTCGTACCGAGTCTCACGTGTGCACCCTATTGTGTAACCAACACGATTTGCTGCTATTCTTAAAAGGGCCGGGCACGAATTTAAGCGAGATTTGCTTTACAACATCCAAAAGTTTTGCCACTATTGCCAAGTATTCGGACGCTCTCCGAAGAGGTTTAGTATTAGACTTAAAGACGATACTGACTTTAATGATACGGTATACGTGGACGTAATGCACTTTAACGGCAAGAACGTATTACACGTCGTTTGCGATTTTACTAATTTTCAAGCCGCCACTTTCTTTAAAAGCATGTCCGCACAGCACTTACTTAAAGGATTTAATCGATATTAAATCAATACTTACGTCGGACCCTTTATAAACGTAATGCACGATCCCGAAACCAACTTCAATTCGGCAACGTTCCGAGGCTACCTTAAAAGTATTAGCAGCACCTTAAAGCAGATGCTTATAAAAGCTTATCATAGCGTCGAGCTAGTGGAACGCTACCACGTCTTTGTGCGACGCGCCTTTGAGATCGTCACAAAAGAGCTTCTAAAAGCCTTAAAGGAGGACCGGCTTCAAATGGCTATCAAAGCTATCAACGACACAGCTAGACCTAATAGCTTGGTTCTTATACTCTTCGTTTTTGGGACTTTACCGAAGCTAACGGAGTAAGATCGACTTGCCGCGTCTACTTAAAAGCGTGCTGCTGCTATTAACAAGGCTATAAAGGAAGTACGAAAATGCCACGCTGCGAAGCAGGTTAGGGACGCGCTTAAGAGGAAGAATAGCCTAATTACGGAGCATACCCTAGACCTCCTTATTGGCTTACGAGTGCTGGTGTGGCGGGAAAACCAAAGGTAAAAGGGCCCTTTTCAGCTGCTTAACAAGCAAAAGCATACGTGCACAATAGCTTGTCCGAGGCCTACGGAATTCAGGTCAACTTTAGTAAAACCTTACTACTTTAAAGTTGAAAAGCTACTAGAAGAGTTGCAAATACCTAAAGTAAAAGTAGAAGAAGAGGTAGAAGAAGAAGTGGAAGATGATTAAAGCGAAAGCGAAAAAGAGCTAGAAATACGAAATTCGCTTAAACTTCAACATTCGTTTAATCCATCGAAGTCGCTTAATCTAAGAAGCTCGCTAAGACTAACAAACAGCCCCTTTAACTTTTAACTTGCTAATCCCTAGAAGTCAATAATACTAATAGTTTAGATACCTTACTAGAAGTACGATCTTAATATCTCGACCGTGCCCGACGAAAAAAAGGGCGATTCTTACGTTCTATTTACTAAGGACTCCGAGGTGTTGATTACCGATAAAGAACGCCGGGACTATAAGCTCTCAATTAAGCTACGAGCCGAAGGAATCATCAAGAGCCCCGAGGCACTATTTCAAGAGTTTAAAGCAAAAGAATTGGCTAGATTAATAGCCTAAAGCATCTTCTAAGTGATCTCGAGCACCGACCTACGCGCTAAAAGCGCTAAGATCTTCGGATCTAGGTTTATTAATAAGATCAAAGGCAAAGGAACACTTACGCTATACGAGAAGTCTCGTATAATGGTCTAAGCCTTTTAAGATAAAAGCAAAACGAAAGTACTTACCGAGTCACTTACGGTGCAGCGAGCGGGCCAAAGACTTTGTTATGCTTTGGCTCCTTTTCTAATAAAAGACTACGAGTATCAAGTCTATAGCAAGGATATCACTTAAGCTTACACTCAGTTAAGCACGAAGCTCATCCGAATAATCGTCGTGCGATTACTTAAAGAGATCACTTATCGATTCCTCTTCGGCACTTTGTTCTTTATGACTAGCCCTTTATATAAGATCTTCGAAGCAAGAACGCATTAGTATAAGCGTTTTTCAAAGCATTTCACGGACAACCTCGAGATAAAGCAATCGAGCTTTGATTCTTGCCTTTTTATATCAACTAATAAAGATCAGCTAAAAATAGCTGCTTTACAGACGGATGATATTCTTATAATTATTAATCTAGCCATAAAAGCAAAAGAAGAGAAAGAGCTGGTCAAATCCAAGTTAAGAAGCAAAGAAATAAAGACCTTTATATACGCCGAGCCAATGATTTTCAATAGATGCAAGCTATCTTTAGATAAAGAAGGGTTCGGACTGTCAGTTGGGCAAAAAGGGCAGGGTGAAAGGCTTGCAATGATCAAGCTCGATTCAGCCATACGAGCTAAAAAGTACTTAGAGCAACGTGCTCGAAAAGCGTATTTGGCTACTATTTGCTACTTAGAAGCATCTTGCGCTTTATCGATAGCCGCTTAACACCAAGAACCGAGGGACGAGGACTATAAAGCCTTTAATAAAGTGATTTAGTAGCTGATCGATCACTTAACTCGAAGGATCTATTACGTGCCTTTGGACTTAAAGACTGCGAAGCTCTTTGTGTTCGTAGACGGAGCGTTTGCTAACAACGCTGACCTTAGCTCTTAGATCGGTTTCGTAGCTATCTTTGGCAATAAGGCTTACGTAAATGAAAACGAGTTCACTCTAACGGGTAACATCTTATATTAAATGTCACAGAAGTGCAAGAGGGTGACAAGAGCAGTATTAGCTTTTAAGTTATACGCGATGTCCTTAAGTATCGATATAGCTATTGCTATATCGACTACCTTTGCTTAAATCACGGCTCAGCTAAGAATCCTTAACTTCTTCGTAGTCGTGTGCACTGACTCTTATTCGCTTTACGAATGCATAGTAAAACTAGGGACCATTAAAGAGAAGCGTCTAATGATCGATATTATAGCTATTCGAGAGTCATACGAAAAGCGAAAGCTTTCTGAGGTACGCTAGATCGGAAGCAAATCTAACCTTGCTGACGCCATAATTAAAATCGAGGCTAATATCTTTTTGCAAGAGCTAGTTTTGACTAATACCTTAAAGGTGCAAGTCGATAGATAAGTAGAAAGGCCGCTATAAAAGGAAGAAGGAGATTGTTTTTCCTTTGTTTAATTACCTCCCTTTTTTTTTTCGGTCGATATAATAGTTAGCAAAGCACTATTTGCCAAAGAGAGAGTTGCCGGTGTCGGTATATCCATATCGACCTTAGCTAGTAGTAGTAGTAGTAGTAGTAGTTAAGGAAGCTCACCCGTGAACCATGGTTCACGGGCCACTTGGCATGCCTCGCTTAGCATATCAGCAGTCAAAGGACCCCCAACTTGATAAGTAAATCTATTAGCTAGCTAGTGCACGTGATTCCTTCTAATCGTATAGAAGGAATCAGCTCCCTTGAGCCTTAAGGAGCAGACAGAATTCAGATACCTTATCAACCGAGTGTTTTGCAATTGCAAGTACTTTGACGACCGTTACGACTTTACGAATATATATTCCCAATCGCTTGGAAGCAATCCAACAGGAATCGCTCGAGAGTTTAATATAGTCTATCTTATTAGTATTGGACCAAGCCGCAAAGTCTCTTCTTCGGCCTTTAAGCTCAACCTTTAGTTCGAATATATCGTGCTATATATTAAAGTCCTTTTTAATCAAGCACTTAAAAAGAGGGACGAAGTAAGTAATATAGTTTATAATCGGGTCTATTAAAAGTTGCCGATAGACGTTTAAAGTAGCGAAGCCGTTTACATCGATTTATAAAAGATCTTTGTTGCGAATAGAACGGCGTTATTAAGTGCGAAGACCTACGCTCTTGCGCACGTAAGTCATTACTCGTAGTCGCTTAGCGAAGTATTAAGCATCGTCTTGATTATCTTACGATTTTATCGAAGCATAGCATTCGTAAGACGAGTGGTTCTAAGTTTTAATGCTCGAGTGCGTATACGGCTCTTAGACACAGATAACGTTAATGTTTGCCGAATAGCAAAGGTAGAGTAAAGTAATGTAGTATAGCTGCCTTTTGCTTACGTTCGCTTAATAGACTTGGATTTCTTTAAAAGGCTGTCGATTGCGGCGAGTGCCGCGGTGCCGTGTCGGCGTGCTTAACATATAAAGTTGTTTTAAGCATCTTAGCTAGCAGTAATGCTCGAGCTTCTTATAGACGAAGAAGATGAGCTAGTAGTATTGTTTACGTGATAGTCCGATGTCGCTATTAGCGTGTCTTTTCTTTCGTTTATAATAGAGAAAGCGCTGTTTATTAAAGTCTTTTCGTTAAAGTTCTTGCGCGTAGCTGTATTGCGTAAAAGTCTCGTAGCTTGCGTAAAAGATTAAGAAGAGGATTATGAAGAGACGGCTTAAAAAGAGGTCGCTCGCTCGTGCTTTTGCACCGCAAAAGCGCGTCTTTTTCGAAAGGAAGCCGCGTTAACACCGGTAGCAAGAGTCTTTAATTGAGAAGCCGAGGTCGGTTCGTTCTCTTCCGTTATAAAAGCAGTAGCAATAGCGTAAGCCTGGGCTCTTAGTCGTCGGACGGCGCTTAGCTCTTTCTTAGTAAGAGTGATCACCTTGCCGTTGACTCGCTTAAGAGCCGCAAAGCAGTTCTTATAATTAGCTTCGTACGGGCCGTAGCAGTTTGCATAACGAAAAGGTGCCGTGCAGTCTTTGCCGTCGGGCCCGTCGTGCTAGTCTCTTCGCTCGCCGTAATAAAAGCAGCGTGCG